GGCATCATCTCTTCTCAGGTGTTTGGTCATCTCAGGTCTTTGTAAGGGCTGGATCCAGACTGAAGCTTGTGTAATTTCTAGTTACCACGGGATGCAAAATTAGCGTAGCTGCTGTTACAACTAGCTTTTCTGCATCAGAAACAGGTAGCATTTGTAACATGGGAAATATGAGATCTAAACCATCTTAAAGCCTGCCCTTGAATACCTGTATAGTTTTGTATTTGATCTATGAGTATTTCATGATCTATAGTGTCGAAAGCAGCACTAAGGTCAAGTAAAACTAGCAATGAGATGCAGCCTTGGTCTGACGCAAGAAGTCAAATGAATTTTAACAAGTGCAGTTTCTGTGCTATGATGGGGCCTAAAACCTGACTGAAATTCTTCATAGATATACATTTTTTGCAGGAATGAGCACAATTGAGCAGACACAACCTTTTCAAAAATTTTAGACATAAACGGAAGATTTGAAATAGGTCTGCGTCACGACCAGCTCAAAGCCGTAACAAATGGAAGGAGGACATAGTACGGTTGGTAAGGTTGCAACAAAAATATTTATTAACATAAGAAAGGAAAAATATATAAAACAAGGAAGCAACGAAAAATAACTACAATTTCTGTCTGACACAAGATGTTATAGTGTCAGACAGAACAAGTCTCACAGCTCATAACAAAATCCAAATAAACAACCCAAAACCAAAAGCAAACACAAAACAATCGGGAGCAAACAAGCAACCCACACCAACAAAGCCAAAGCTTTTTTTATAGAGGGAAGAACAGGTGGACATCGTTCTCTTGATGAGTCTCCTAGCCACACCCACTGGCCAGCCATAGCAGGAAGAGTAGGAGACTCGTCACAGTCTGTAATTTGCCAGTTCACTAGGATCTAGTTGTGGTTTCTTAATAAGAGGCTTAATAACCGCCAGCTTGAATGGTTTTGGGACGTGATCAAAAGATAAAGACGAGTTAATAATATTGAGAAGCGGTTCTTCTGCTACAGGTAACAACTCTTTCAGTAAAAGTGACATGGGATGCAAATCTGAAATTTAATAAGGATGTATTTACTATAACAACACAGTGATCAGAGAAAAATGTCTGATGTGTTTGATCAACAGTGTCATAATTTAGCTTTAATTTTCTGTATAGCTGATTTGCAATGATTTGTATCGTGAAAAGCATTATACAAATAAACTTGAATTGAATTGAAGTCATAATCATCTGTGTTCAGTTCATTCCTGATCATTATATGAGCATCAGAATAAAAGCAGCTGTTGATTGTGTCTCATCAGCTCCGGTGATTCTGGATCCAAACACTGCAAATCCACATCTTGTCCTGTCTGATGATCTGACCAGGCTGAGATGGAGCTTGACCAGTCAACCATTTCCTGATAATCCAGAGAGATTCGACGAGTATGCCTGTGTTCTGGGTTCAGAGGGTTTTAACTCAGGAACACACTGCTGGGATGTGGAGGTTAAAGAGAGTTTGTACTGGAGTCTTGGAGTAACTACAGCATCAAACCAGAGGAAGGGACCTGTTTTCTTTAACACTGAGGTCTGGTGGGTGCAGTACGGACTGGATGAGCGGTTTGGTTTTCCTGTTAAACAGAGGCTGGACAGGGTGAGAGTTGATTTGGACTATGACAGAGGAACATTGTCATTCTCTGATCCTGTAACTAACACACATCTACACACATTCACAACCACCTTCACTGACAC